ACACATTTGAATACATCGCATATGAACTTTTTTCTCTTTTTACACTTTGCTCTCTTTCTCACTCATGCAATTCACTCTGATTTTCTGTTGATCCCAACACTGTACAACCTCTTCCCTCTCTGTGATTAAATATTCGCTATTTCATCAAAACTATATTTCTCTTTTTCTTCTTCTGCTGCTAACTACTTTCCTTATTTTACAACTTCTCCTACCAGCTTCATAATTATCCATAAAATGCTATCTGGTAGACCCTTATCTGTTGTGTTTTAAAGTAAACTTTTTACGTTATTTTGAAAAGTTCATGTATCATTTCTTGACTGTTAATTGCTAATTTGTTTGAAGAGATACAGCATTAGTATCTCTTGAAATATTTAAGATAATAAATGATAGTGATATAGGCAGTCCTAGGTTGGCACAGTGTGTGGTACTTTAAAAATAACCGTGCAAATTGAAATTGCTGAAAGCAGCTTTAAAGACAAATGGAAAGAAGCAAGGTCATTCAGTGACCTAAAAAAAATGCTTTTGTCAAAACATTAAAAACTCATTTCTCATTTCTCTTTTACCGAGGTTCCTCTGGTGTGCAGGTCTCTACTATGTTGTTGGTGTCATCATTTCTATGATCAGTCATCTTCTAAACACATCAGTGTTACACTTTTGTTTCTTTGTCACACTTTCATTTTTTGATTGTCTGTTTTTAAAAATTACGTATATATTTATCACTGAATAACAAGAATTCAACACTCCTGCACACTCTTCCGTGTATGAACAGTTTCATTCTGATTCACTCCCTGCTATCTTTTTTCAGTTTGATTAAATTGAAGTTTTGCCTATACATGGAGTTTTTAATTTTACTGATACACTTTTTAAATTTTTAGAAGTTATATTTTTATTTGTAAAACTGCATTCTTATCATTGTCTCCTGTTCTTTGCTAATGTTTAAAATTTTATTAATTTAAATATTTCATTTTTATAGCCATCATATTCCATACCTAATCACTCTATTTACCAGGAAGGAGTTCTAAGTCACTAGAGGGTCAGTAGAAATAAACTGCAGAATTAGAATTCCTTTATAGTAAATGTAAATAGAATTATTAGACACAGAATATGATGGCTATAAATGAAGTCCTTAAAGAAATAGATGTCTCTTTTATTGTAAACTTATTTTTTGAAAAAATGTTGAGGGATCAAAATTCTTTCAGATAGTCAACAGATACGATATCATTTTCAATACATTATTTAAAGTTCAGAAGTTCCTCTGACTGACAGAGCAGGATAACTGTGATAGCAAGTGTATGGGTATAAATTCCCATGAAAGAATTATAATGATCCATCATTATTATTTTAATCAATTCATTTCACCACAGGCAATGGCATAGTCTTTCTCACTCTCCCATCTGCTCTCTCGCTGAATTCAAGGAGGATGCTCATGTCTGTCCATCTCTCTACTTTAGTTTTACTATGTACAATACTTTTGCCAAGGACATGATATTTATTTTAGGTCTCGTGTATTTACAGTCTCAATTTGTGGGGATCAGGACCTAGTCTCCCATTCCCATACGGCATCTATATTGTATTTCAGTGCAGTCTCATTTTTTTTTTTTTTCTTTTTACTTTTACCTCTGTGGTCTGTGTGTTAAAGGAAAGAACTGGGTATTCTGTGTATTTTGCTTCATTCCTTGGGAAGATCACATGCATTTAAGAGCATCTTTGTTGTAATTTACTCAATATACAAATATTTTACATGGAGAAGTTTTTTTTTTTTTTTTTCCTAATAGATGGAGCACCATACACGTGGAAGTGGAAGTCGGATGAAATATTTTTGTTGTACATTTTATTATAAATATGTATATTCCTAAACAATGTTTAGATTAGGCATTAGATTGCCTATTGTCCATCTTTAAATGAAAGGCAACAAATTACATGTTTTACTAAAGATTTTATTTATGCAGCTCTGGTTAATTTCGTTTTCCTTCTGTACAGTAACTATGTATGAATTTGTAATAAGTATTTATAGCTTTCTATTTTTATCTATTACCTGTAATGCTACATGAGACAGAAATTCGGGTACATTGGTTATGTTTGCCTTCAACTACAGTAGATATTTCTAAACTGCTTCCAGTGCATTGTTACCAATTTACATTCCACCAGCAATGCCCCATACAGCATTCACATGCCATCATTGTTTTTTAATTTTAATCATACTGAATAAATTGGTATTTCAATTGTTTTTAGTTTGCATTTCTCTGAACCTAAGTGAACTTTCCACATCATTTTTGCTCATTTGGATTTCTTCTAAGAATGATCTATTCTTTTACTATGTACATTTATCAATTGCATAACTATTTTGTTAATAATCTTTTATCAGTTATAAGAACTGCAAAACTACTAGCATATGGAGTTATTGGTTTATTTCTAGCATGATTTGATATGAAAGTTTTATTATGGTCCAACATCAATCTTTTCTCTATGTTTGGTACTTTTATTTAATAAAAAATTCCCTTATTTTCCTTTATTTCTCTAGAAATGTTTGGTGTTTTACTTCTTTACATAAAATCTATAGCCCACATAGAAATTAATGTTGTGTCTACAGCACATTTCTAAAATTTATGGATAACCAATTCTAGAATATATTGGTTTATAACCCACTGACTGTAATACCAATTTAGTCACATATCAGGATGACATAAATGTGTGTTTCCATCTGATTGTGAATGCCATTCAACTGTTTGTTTCTGAACCAAAACTATAAAATACTCACATTTGTCAAAAAGATCTTCTCTATTCTTGCCTCTGGCTTTTCATATAAATCCTAAAATTACTTTGTCAACTTCCCTGAACCTATTTGTATTTTAATCAAGATTGATTCTAATTCACTTACTTAAAGTAATGATATTATACTTTCTATTCATGAGCATCCTTTCTCCACTTATTTGGGATTTTTCCAAAAATGTTGGAAGAAAACTTTGTCTTCATAAACTTGTACAGCTTTCCTACTACTTCATAGGACCGTTACTTTTTGCATTGCATTATAAATCTAATTTTTTAAATTTTAGTATTGTTTTGAATATTGACCTTTTATCCAGCAACTTTATTCCATTCTCTCATTCTTAAAAATAGTATATTTGTATGTTCTATAGAATTTTATCCATGTAGGCATCAAATGAGAACAAGAATTTTGTTTCTTCCATTCCTGCTTTTAGAGGAAATACTAGTTACCCTAGTAGTTGTTGTAAACCTCTGGCATATACCTTTCTTCAGTGTATAGAAGTTCTTCAGCCTTTGTTTCCATATTGTTAATGTCATTACTTCTAGGTGGTAAATGATATTAAATTGTATATTATTTTTCGATTATCTATTGACATTTTCACATAAGTTTTTCTGTAATAATTTTGTGATCATTTTCTGAATTGATATCTTGCTGTCCTGTGATTAACCTGCCTTGCTGATGTTTACTTTTGCTATTTTAAAGGAGTTGGCTTGCTAACATTTTCATTTTGTTTTAATCTAGAAACATATTTGACTTACATGGTCTTTTATTTATTGTATTTTTTGTAAAATTGTCAGGTGTCCTTATATATCAGGATAGACATGGGATAGGTTCATTTGAAGTTATAAATGTATTCATTTAAAATATTAAAAATTTGAGTTACTTTTGTTGTATTTTTAAATATTTCCCTTTCGGTACTTAAAGTTGCTCTTAAGTATGATTCTATTCTAATTGTAGTTTTGTTTTCTAATTAGTCCTTTGATTTATTATTCTATTGCTTCAACAATGACCATTGGCCTAGATGTCATGCCACTAGCATTCTATTTTTGTTTCTATCACTTGTGGATTTTTGTTTTGAACTATGGGCAAGTTGAACTATGGGCTCAACTGCAGTTGAACATATTTTTTCATCTCTGAGACCCATTTACTATTACATAGCTCACATGTTTCCAGTAAGGCTCAAGTAATTATGACTGAAAATGTGACTATAATGAAAAGCAAAATCAAACACCCAAGAATTTATAGGTTATCTGCAAAATCTTGAATGAACACATCATTTGTAATATTTTTTCCAATATGACATCATAGGCATCTTCTAGAACATACATGTGAATCAGAGATTGTAACCCTTTCACAGCAGTGAAACCTTCAAAGTCCAATATTAATTCTAGCTAAGTTGAAGATTGGCAATTTTTAACCACAATTATTTTAACATGAATGTTTTAAAAATATGCTTTTAGTATATATCCTCATAACATGTTTTAATTGTGAGACACTTTGAAATGTTTCAAAGGTCCCAAGATAGAAGGCAATGTTACTAACTTCTGGTTAGTATTCAGGATGATTATGTACAACTTCTAGGGGAAGTACCTAAATTCTGATTTAGAGTAGGCAGAAATAGAAAACCTCAGAATTACTGTTAAAAATATGAAAGACCTAAAGTATTGGGGTAAAATTTTTTTAAAAGTATTAAGAAAAAAATTGTCTTTAGAAAGGCAAAATTATTTTCTGCTACAAATTATTTGCTTTTTGAGAGCAAAGTTGTTAGTTTGAAATAAAGGTAAAGATAAAAAATAAAGGTAAGATGCACTGAGTTCCATTCAAAATGAATTATCTTTCACCATGGGCTTGGGATAAAACTGGATTATATTTATCATTTTGCTCATATGGAGAAATGAATTGTACATAGTTTGGTTCTTTCACTGGATGTTGCATAAGCTCAATTTGTAGGACTAGATTTAGAAACCAGGCTGGAGCTGAGTGCTGTCACCCAGTGGTTAGCAGGATGGCCCCACACACCAGAGGCATCAGGTTTGAACCTTACCTGGGCCTGAGTAACAACAACAAAAAAATCACAAAAAGAGAAACAAGGCTAGGTAGAGTTCCTCTCTTTATTTTGATAAAACTCCCATTTAGGAGAAAGTACTAAGGCTCAACATTTATTTTACCATGTCAATGCCTAAAAAACATGTACAATTTTAAAAGATGACGAGTCCAAATAAAGTCATTTTTAAAAATTTTATTATTGTTTACCAATGGGGAGATGTAGTTTATTTACACCAGCAGCCATAGGGGCAAGGGGAATATAGTTAATCAGCTATCTGTATAGAATGGACTACTTATGCAAAAATAAGAATCTCCAAAACAAAGGACAGTGGTGAGCTTCACTACCCTCCCCCCATGATCCCAGCATGCGATAATGCCAGGCAGTGGTCCCTGGGCATGCAGTGGCAGAAACTAATATATGGAAGAAAAAGCCACAAACCACAGAAAATTTTAAAGAACCCCTTTTCCCCATAACACACACACACACACACACATACACACAGTTACATAATAGGATTACAAGGTGATCAATACACTTACTCAAGGAGAGAACAGGAATTCTGCAGTTAAAGGGAGGGTAGCTAGGGAAAAGGAGAGTTCCTAACCACTGTCAACTATATGGGAGGGAGTATAAAAGGAGTTTGTTTCCTCAGGGGACCTGTTAGACCAAGCCCACCTTATACTCATTCAGAGAGGTTACTGCCCTTTTGGTAGAGGGGAGAAAAAAGCCCAAAAAGGATGCGATATGAACCATTACCCCAAACCATTACTTCCCACTTCTTCCTCTTCTAGTCACGATCAAAGACCAAAAGAAAATAGTAACATAATGATCTGAGTTCCCTATCAGAAGGAAGAGTAATTGGACCATGCACGGCCTTTCTCCTTACCTTCATCCTGCTTTCAATATAATGTTTGGAAGTAAGCCAGAGTGTCATTAGGACCCTTACCTTCTCCCTCTGTCTAGCCAAAAGTCAAGAGCAAAGAAAGACCAAAATTATTTTAGCTCCTGTAAACTTTGATTTTTCAAGTTATCACAATTCTTTGATTAAAGATCAATCTGTAACTAGGGCCCAATCCTGATGAAGACAATACAGGGAGAAGGTAATAATAGTCTCAAAGCCCACTTTCTATTTCTTTAATTCTCTAAGTATGTGACCCAGTTAATTCTACACAGTCTTTAGTTCTTTCTGGGATAATGAAGAATACACGCAGAACAAGGGTTAGAGAATGGATAAGGACCAACTCCATCCATGCGTGTCCACCAGCCTTTACTGCTCTTCTACTTAGGTCCTAAGAGGCAGTATCCAAGAAAAGGTGGGAAGACAGAACTCATGAAGACACAGCAGGAGGACATACTAGCAAGGCAGTCCTATATAAGAGAAATGCTAAGGTATGATACTGCCTTTTAAATACAAAAAATTAAGTTCTCTTGCAATTCCAATCCCAACAGAGAAAGCTGTAAGATTTTCCTCTGAGTCCTCCACAAAAACAGGAAAACCCCCCAAACAAAACAAACCAAAAATCTTAAAAATAGGCCAAGAAAAAGGAAATTGGGCAGGCTTCAGAAGGGGAGCATTAAGAGAGATGATTTGAAACTGGTAAATATGAAAGCTGGAGCGGCAAGCAGCACCAGATAGGCAGTGGAGCAGGGGACAGGAGGAACATGGGGCCAAGCCAGACACATGAGGCTAGGACCCTTATTGGAGCACAGAATGAGGTAAGAAAACATTTCAAATAAAGCAGCACCGTTCTTGCTCACCCCTTTATGCTTCATAAACCCTCATTCAGGGAATAAAATGGAGGGTAGTTTTGATATGTGGCTCTTACTTCCCATCCTCCCCTAACCTAGTCCCTGAAGCCAGGAAATTCTGGAGGTCTTTCCCTGACTTCCAACAACAAAAAGATCCAAGGGGGTTGAGTGGAAAATTTTGCCCCTTGTAAGGGACAGAGAAGGTGGTGACAACCTATATGTTCACTATAGCCAGGTTCCAACCGCCCAATCAGAGGAACAGGGGCATTTAACAGGATTCTGCACACAGATGAGAGAGGACCCATTTCTGTTCCTTGACTCCTAGAAGTAACCCATTCATCTTATTGAGGGTAGCTGGAAAAGATCCCCTCTGGGCTCAGTGTTTAAAATAGCCACCTGCACAGCCATGACGCTCTGGTATAGTTCAGTACCGCCCTGGGGTGGGGAGGCAGGTCATTACCTGTTATAATGACCAGTCACACCCAAGGACTGGCAAGGTAACCAGTAACTCAATAGTAGTTAATAAATGCCCCAACAAAACTTGTGTCCACAGAGAAATACATCCAGATATGAATCTTGCAGTTTGAAAGATCGTGCATAGTTGTAGAGGTCCCTGCTACCTCCCTAGGGGATCATAACTGAATCCTCAGCATATTTGGACAACTAAATTGTCCATTTGCCAAGCCTATGCCACCAGGCAAGCAAGACCGCTGTGCTAATCCAAAGGCTAGGCCTTGTCCCCAAGTGGGTTGAAATCATTGTAACTGCTGCACCCTTGGGAAACAGGTGATTTTCACCTTTTCTTCTTGTTGGAGTCAAGGCCACAGAACACTCCTACCAAATTTGATTGAGAATTCTTTTTCTTGGTTTTCCCGAGTTGAAATTGCTACTATCCAGAGTGCACACCTGACTTTCATTTATCTCAGAGAAACCCAAATCAAAGGCTCAGAGATCAAAGGAGCAGTCCCAATGTAGGCCATCCATCATGGCCTGACCAAGAGTAATGTCCAAATTGTCCAGGAGGCCCTTGACATCAGACAGGGAGAAAGGCTGAGGAACCAAAGGATTTTTATACACTGGGCACACAACTGCTCTCCTGTACACTGGGGGCACTTTGGGGCCTTGAACACATCCTGGTGTGTCTAGAGATGAATATGCAGCCGGTGAAGCTTCTCCGGCCCAGGGTTTTAGATCTGACCCCAGGTGATACACTTACAAAAGGATCTTAATCCCTAAATTCTCCACTTTGGGTTTTAAAATGCTAGGGTCTTCAAAGGGAATTAGGAATTGACATTTGTCTTTTTTTTTTTTTTTTTAAACCTTTTTGTAATTACTTAGCTCATTCCTCCAAGCCACAGGACCAGTCTATGTTGTTGTCTTGGTCACTCTCAGCCTCTATCATGTTGCAGCTACTGGAATTCTGGGGGTGAGCGCTGCAGCTCTTGATCAGGCCCATTCCCAGGCTCTGCAGGAAGAGAGCAGAGGGGAAGGCGGCATGCGCCTTTGTCTTCCACCGGCTGAATGCCAAAATCCTTCACGCTACCAGTGTCCGCGAACTCCAGGTAGAAGTAGCCACACTTGACCGCCCGGTGTACCTCAAAGCAGAATCCCAGACAAGAATCCTCTATCAGGTCTACGTATATCTCCTGCGCGATGGCCTCCAGCTTGTTAGTATCCAGGTTAGCCAGCGAAATTTCCTCCATTTTAATTCGTTAAGCGATCGTGGAGAGGGCGCTCGTTTTACTCACGGCAGCAACACGTCTGGCTCCGCGGGCTGCGCCTAGGCCTGGAGGCCTCGCAGGGCCGCGTTCTCGGAGGTGGGGACAGTGACGTCCGTAGCGGCTGAAACAGGAGCAGCGGCGGCGGCGGTGACGGTTCCGGGAATCCCAAGTCCTTCAGTTCGTTCCGGCGTCTCCCGAGTTCTGGGACTGCGACGTGCTCCTGGATAGACTCGCCACCAAACCTTCTCGCCCAGTCACCCAGCCCCCCGGGCCTCTTCCGCTCCGTGTCGGGCCAGCCCCACCTCCTCACTTCCGCTCCTCAGCGCGCCTGCGCACTGCTCCGCGCAGACTCGCGGGACGTCTAACGCGCCGCCATCCGGACAGCGTTTAAATTTATGAAAATGAACGGGATGGACTTAGCTGTGTTTTGCTCTCGTTATATCTGCGGGTTGTAAAAAGGTCGCAAGGATACTTTTTTTTTTCTTTTTGCAATTTTTTATTTTGACTGTGCCTGGGTTTAGAACCCGCCACCTCCGGTATATGGGGCCGGCACCCTACACAGGCGCCGCCAGCAAGGATGCTTTTTTAAGATTATTTTGTTTGTGGATGTAAACGTTCGCTGATGAATTCAGAATTCAGCATCCCTGCGTAGTTTCCTCTGGAAAAGTGAAAGTTCATAATTACGTGCACTTTTGTGGTAGATCCGAAATATCATTTTAGGAACAGTTCTCTGGACACGTTTGAAAATTTGACTTCTGAGATTGGTGACCTTTATAGTACTGTCGCAGTTGTCATTTAAAACCACTAGATGGTGCAAGGAAACAAATTAGTTTACTTTCCAGCCTTTTTTTTTTTTTTTGGTATGGGGGAAAAACCTAGAAACCAGGCACTAAAGGTATAATTCATGTACCTGTTAGTTGATCAAATAAGACTAAGACATTTATTTCACTTATAAATTCATTATAAGATCATTAAATTAGTGTGACTATGAAGAGATAATATGCATATGTAAAGGAGTTCAAAGAGAATTACATATATATTCTGTTGAGGGGGAGAAAGAGGGAGGAAATCTGAAATAAGGTAAATATACTGAGAAATAAAGAAAGCTTTCCCTAAAGTTATGTGCATGAATTGCAAAATGGGAGCCAGCCTGCCTGGATTCAAATCCTGGAGCAAATCCTTATTTCATGGTTAAGATTAACTATAGTTTAAAATAATCTCTTGAGGCAATGTCTTACAATAAGCGATGATTCAGTGTATCAGCTATTTTTAATCATATTTGCTATGAAATTGAGTATGAGAAAGATTGCTGTAGTGTTTCCTTTATTATTTGCTCACTTTTTTTTTTTTTTGGTCCCCACCACCAGTATGAATAGAGCAGCATCTATTATCTTTATAATCTATCAAGAAATAGTTATGACTAAAGAAAGAAAAATTTATAAGAAGTATTTATTGGTATGTCTGATTTCATACTTTCCTTTGTATTTAATGGAGAGACATAGTATCTTTCAAAAAAGATAAAAGTAAGCATTTTCTAATGTATATGATCATCAGAATACCCAAACAATTTTTATAGTTAATTCTTATTATCTCACTCTATATTTCATGAGCAGATGATTAAGTTAAACCAGTTTGGTTTGTGAGTATCCAGTTTGTGTATCTATCCAAATTTTTCTGATTTCACACTTTAGCTTTTTTAAAAACCACAAATTTACAAATGTGGAGCCTTTTAAAAGTCTAGATTATGTAAGAATCATATACTATGTTTCTTTTAAATCTAGAAAAGATTGTTTTTTCCCATTGTAGTTTTTTAAACTGTTTTTTATTAAATCATAACTTTGTACATTGATGCATTTATGGGGTTCAGGGTAGTGCTTCAATATACAATGTGAAATGCTTACATTGAACTAAGTAACACATCCATCATAATTATACTCATTTTATTTTTATTTTTTTATTTTTATTAGATCATATTTGTCTATATTAATTCTATCATGGGATACAGTGTGTTGTTTCCATATACAATTTGAAATACTTTCATCCAATTGGCCAATATAGCCATCATGTCATTCTCATAATTGTTGTGTTAAGACATTTATATTCAACATTTAGAAAGATTTCACATGTACCCTTATAGGAAAAATCATAAACGTGATCCCCGCAGTCACCCTCCCTTCACCCATCCTCCCCCCTCCCTTCCCCTCCCTCACCCCTTTCCCCATATTCTTGGATTTGGATTCTATTTGGATTATAGCTTTCCTATGATAGTCAACAATTAGTTTCATAATAGGGTTGAGTACATTGGATACTTTTTCTTCCATTCTTCTACTCATTTCTTAATAGTTTTGAAATGTACATTCTAATGTGCATTTTGAAGTGCACAATAGATGAGGTCCCCCCAAATACCCTCCTGCCTTCCATATAGCCCCCTCCCCTCCCCTCTCTCTGCTCTTCCCCTCTACTTTCTGGACTATAGTTATGTTTTGCCATTCATATGAGTGTGTAGGTGGTTATATATTGATTTCATAGTAGTACTGAGTACATTGGATACTTTTTTTTTCTTTCTTGAGATACTTTACTAAGAAGAATATGTTCCAGGTCCATCCAGGTAAACATAAGAGATGTGAAGTCTCCTCCTTTTTATATGGCTGCATAGTATTCCAATGGTGTACATATACCATGATTTGTTAATCCACTCATGGGTTGATGGGCACTTGGGCTGTTTCCATATCTTAGCTATTATGAATTGGGCTGCAATAAATATTCTGGTGCAAATGTCTTTGTTGTAAACTAATTTTGATCATCTGGGTATACCTAGTAGAGGAATTGCAGGACCAAACGGTAAGTCTACTTTTAGTTCCATAAGTGTTCTCCAAACTTCTTTCCAAAAAGGTTGTATTAGCTTGCATTCCCACCACCAGTGTAGAAGTGTTCCCTTCTCTCTGCATCCTCACCAACATCTGTAGTTTTGGGATTTTGTGATGTGGGCTGATCTTAGTGGAGTTAGATGACATCTCAGAGTAGTTTTGATTTGCATTTCTCTGATGATTAAGGATGATGAGCATTTTTTCATGTGTTTTGTAGGCCATGCACCTATCTTCACTAGAGAAGTTTCTGTTCAAGTTTTTTGCCCACATAGAAATAGGATTATTTATTCTTTTCTTATTGATTAGTTTGAGTTCTCTGTAGATTCTAGTTCCACATCAGATCTTTTTCAGAATCATAACCTACAAAAATCTTCTCCCAGTCTGCAGGTTGTCTGTTTGCTTTACTAACTGTGCTCTTGGCTGTGCAAAAGCTTTTTGGTTTCATCAGATCCAGTAATGTATTTTTGGTGTTACTTCAAATGCCCAGGGGTGGGGGGGGTCCTCCTCATAAAATATTCTCCCAGGACGATTTCTTCAAATGTTTTCCCTGCATGCTCTTCTAGTATTTTTATAGTTTCATATTTTAAGTTTAAATCTTCTATCCAGTGAGAATCAATTTTTGTTAATGGTGAAAGGTATGGGCCCAGTTTCAGTCTTCTACAGGTTGCCATCCAGTTCACCCAGCACCATTTGTTAAATAGGGAGTCTTTCCTCCACTCAATATTTTTGATAGGCTTGTTAAAGATCAAATGATGATAAGTAGTGGGGTTCATCTCCTGGTTCTCTATTCTGTTCCATAAATCTACCACTCTGTTTTTGTGCCAGTACCATGCTGTTTTGATCACTATAGATTTATAGTATAGCCTGAAGTCTGGTAATGTGATACCTCCTGATTTGTTCTTATTTCTGAGTAATGTATTTGCTATTCAAGTTT